GGCCCCCCGCCCCCCCCCCCCCAGCCGGTCCCACCTCCTGCGCCACCGTCGCAGGCCGCCCGGGCGGGGAAGAACGCAGAGCGTGCGCGCTCGAGTTGCAAAGTTTCAGCTCCGCTCGGAGCTCCCGGAATAAAAGAGAGGGCGGGGCCGAGCGGGAGCAACACGTGGGAGGGGGCGGGGCCGCGACCTCCCGGACTCTTTCTCCCGCTCCCACTCCAGGGCTCCACTTTTCCTTTTTTTTTGAAGATGGGGGTGTCGCCGCCCCCTGCGTCCTGGAGAGCAGGTCAGCAGCTCCTGAGAGGTCCCAGACTAGTGGGAGCCGAACAGTCCGAATCCTTGTGAACAGTTTTTTTGCTTGTTTGGTTTTGTTAAGTAAAACCTGTATGTTGTCGTTTTAAAAGCTTCGAATCAAGATCTTGCTCAGTCATTCAGCCGTCTTCATTTTACGTTTCCTAAGTAGAGCAATTATGTGTTTTGGACAAGAAGACCAGTGCTCTCGAGGCTGCTGCAGCGTATCGACTCTTCAGTTTAGTAACAGCAGAATGGGCAGTTCTTCGAGTTGTGTTTTGCCATAATGTACTATTCATATTTTCAAAATGACCTAACTCTAAATTCGGATTAGTCATTAACCCTGAGGCGAAATTTGTCAGCAAGCCAAGAAGAAAAAAAGAAAAATGCCCAAGTTTCCGCCTCTGACAAGGGGAGGAGAGCCCTTTCCACACTACAAGCCTCAATTTGGAAGCAGAGCCTGGGTCTGGGGAAAACCCTATAACTGGTGTTTACCTCCCTCCGGCCCTCCCTACCCTACCTCCCACACACACGCAGACACTCTTGGCCCCTACTGAGTCTTCTTTCAATTATAGTTATTGATTTCCATCTTCCCCTTGGCGACTATTAACCCTATCCAGGGCAGAGACTGTTTGGTATTGGGTAGAGTAAGCTGGATCTGTTCTCCCACTTCCGACTGCCTAGCTCCCCCGCCTAAGGGAGTGGTTGGTGTTTATTCGTTCAGGAAGCATTGCAGATGCATCTTCTGTTCCAGCCACTGCGTTCATTCAATATTTGTCGTGTGGGATAGGTGCCATTTAGTACATGTGATAGGTGCCATTTAGTACCTGTGACAGTCACGACTAGCACCCCGCTCTCCTCTCTCTCTCTCTCTCTCTTTCTCTCTCTCTGTCTCTCTCTCTCTCTCCTCTCTCTCTGTGTTGGGTGTATAGTGTGTAAACCGCCATAGCCCTCCTGTGTAACTCATCAATACAATAGAGAGGTGCAACTATAAAAATAGCAATCTTTTTTAAACCAAAATTAGCCAACCTAGAAACTTGGCAAAGTTCATGAGAAGATTCCTGGTAGAAAAGAGTTGCCCCCTTTTTAGAAATGATCTTTGACCTTTCTCTTTCCATAATCATCTTTATGACCACAAGAGAGAACCATCTTGACCTTCGCTCAGAGGGAACTGTTAAGACAGTTTCGGTAATCACCATACTATCAGAATGACCAAACAAGTAATTCATCTCCAAAACAGTACTGCTGCCTGTTGGGGTGCAGCAATAACTAGGTTGACATAATGTGAATCAGAGTGTAGAACCAATAGAATCACAAAGAGAACCAAGTGCTGATGATTTTGCTGTAGAATTTCACTTGATGTTCTCCAGTGCCTTTGCATTCGTCGGAGCATTAAAAGCTAGAATCCCAGAGTGCAGTCCAGTGTGCAGAATTTTGTCCCTCGGTCAACTCAATCTATATTCGGTGCATACATAAACAGAATATGCAAAGAAGAAAGCCATGTTAAAATCTCCAACCTGGAAGACCAATTAACTATCTAAATGAATTAGGGATCCATTTACCCTACCAGTCCTGCCGGCTAATTACTATGTAAATAAGGCCTTCTACCTTAATTACAGCTGTTAGCATGTGAAAGTTTTAGGGTGTGCTGACTGCCTGCAGAAATACAAACTTTACACAGAAAGTTTGGCATATCAAAGAGGTGGAATTTCAGATAAGCAGCTATGGAAATTGATGTGTATACAAAAGCAAAAAAAAAAAAAAAAACCAAAAAACAATCATTTACACAGTTGCCAGTTTTCCTTCTTCCTTCCCTCCTTGACACTCACCAGGGTCCCTCCCACATCACTAGGATCCAAACAAACCTTTTGGTTGAACCTGATCTTAGGACCCATCCTCCTGTAATTCTCTCTCCTCTCCTTTTCTTTGTGAGCCTCCTTGCATATTCAGGTTAGTTATTTAGTCAAAGAAGCATGCTGTGAATACTTGTAATACACTGAACTGAGTATGAAGAAGATTTAAAACCACACAGTTAGCTGCTCTTGGAGATCGCAGGACTTTCCCAGGGAGGGTTTTCTTCTTTGGCCTTTAATCAGAAGACAAGGCCCGGGGGTTGCAGAGGGACCTGGACAAGAGAGTTTGGGAATCAATTTCATGTTAAGATTTGAGTCTCTTCAAAATGACTTTATTTGAGAAGTAGAAACTAAGCACTCTGGAGGCATAGCTAGTACTGTAACTACTGGATAAACACAGGAGTAAAAAAGGCCCTGAACCCTTCCCCAGTGTAAAACACTTCCCATAAAGAAAGAAATGTGAAGGTATTCTAATGGCAGCAGTTCCAGTTTCCTCTCAGCCGAGGTTCCCTCCCTATGTGGTGATTACAACATGATGTTTCTTTTCCACACTACTCTCAGAAATTTAAATCATTTAATTAAAATCATTTCATTTCCTCCCGAATATAAATTGTCTCCTGTTGTCTATCTCTTAACTTGAAAGACAGCAAATGATTCTGCAAATTCCCACCTTCGAAACATCCTGGGGGGTGAGGGGGATGTTCTTCTCTATGACATCACCTGGCTTCGAAGTCACCAGTTAACTCAATTACCCCTCTGCTGCTGAGTCTCCCACTCAGTTCCAATGGGTCTGGATTCTTCACACCAAGGTAATGAAATTACCTCCCTAAATACACAGGCGTCCCATCAGATAACCCAGGTGGTGAAGTTCTCAAACATTTTTTTTATTGAAATAAATGCAGCCTCGCTTGCTTGAAGTCTTTTGGTCACTCGGGAACCTTAATGATATCACCCTGCAGACAGCAGGAGAGCTGGGCTTCCTTTTACTGACTCCCATCCATATCCCACAGACTAATGTCAAGTGCATAAAGACTCAAAAGCCTGGTGTCGTTTACTGGTTCTTATTATTATTTTATTTTTAATTATTTATTTTGTACCACCGGGGGGTTGAACCTAAGGCCTCATAACCTGCTATCCAATACCTCACTATTGATCTGATTTTTTTATTTTTAGGCTGGGTCTGAGATCAAGTTGCCCAGGCTGACCTTGAACTTGGTTTGAGCAGTGAACTTCTGATCCTTGGCCTCAAGCTCCAAACTAGCAGGTATTACCAGTGTAGACCACCAGGCTTGCTTTTACTGATTTCTTTCCCAGTGCTTGGAAAGGAACCTGGGGCCTTGCATAAACGTGTCAGGCAAGTGTCCCTTTCCTGACTACAGTATTTCAAACTACATTCAGAAGAGCGGATTCTAATGAAGAAACACTGACTACTGTAAATGAATTTTGGGGTTTTCAACTTCCAAATACCGTGACCTTTTAGAACAGTCCCTCGTGTTGTGCTGACCCCCAACCATAAAATTATTTCCTTGCAGCTTCCTAACTGTAATGTTGCTACTATTTTGAATATCAATGTAAATATCTGGTATGCAGGATATCTGATATGTGACCTCCAAAGCAGTCAGGCCCCACAGGTTAAGAACCACTGACCTAGAGGCATATTTTGGGAGAGTTGCTACATGAAGCAATACCCACAGATAGTTAAGCCTCTTACCCTCTGGTGCTAAAGCTGCTAACAGGGAGTATATTGTATAGACAAACTACAGACCGTCCCATATCCCTCACCCCTTGGATACATGGTACTTTCTGTCACAGCTATTAGGTTGCAGAGTGTTTAAAAAGAACTCAGCGTCATCCCCCACCTGTTGTTCTTACAGCTCCATATGACTTTGTGGGACTCAGAGTCTCTGGATAAGGCAATATGACCCCATCAGTTTCAGACTCAATGATCCTTGTTTCCAACACAAGTCCTATGTCGATAGCGACAACAAAGGCTATCGGGGTGAGAAGGCATGGGGACCTATCCTAAGTCTTTTGGAAAAATCAAATTATTCCAAGCAAATCTTGAGCATTAGAAATAAAACACAGGTTTGAATGTCATAATACTCTAGGATGGAGAGGACAGGCAACAATAACTATTTCTGCACTGCTTCATGTTTTTCTTATTTGAATTGGTTTAACAGAACTATTTTATAAGACTATTTCAAGTCAAATAGAATCCGAGCCTGGTAGCACATGCCTTTGATCCCAGAACTTAGGAAGCAGAGGTAGACTGATCTCTGTGAGTTTCAGGCCAGCTTGGTCTACATAGTGAGTTCCAGGACATCCAGGGCTACATAGAGAGACCATGCCTTGAAAAACAACAAACAAACAAAAATCAAATCAAATAGAAATATATGTATTCAAATACTCAGACCTATAATGAAACTTTTTTTAATGAACATTGAGTTCAGTCTAAGAGTTAATTCATTCTTCCATTACTAGAAAAAAAAAAAAAAGCATTTAAAGGAGAGCAATTTCTGCCAGTCTCAACTTATTTAAATGCTGCAGTCCAGTCATTTGTAACAACACATGTAGATTCTGCCTAAAAGCACATTGATTCATGCTTCTCCCTTGTGTTTTGTTTTGGTCTAGTTTTGATTTTGTTTTTTTGAGACAAAGTTTCTCAGTGTAACAGCCCTGGCTGTCCTGGAACTAACTCTGCAGACCAGGCTGGCCTAGAACTCAAGAGATCCACCTGCCTCTGCCTCCCGAGAGCTGGAATCCTGCACCACCACAGCCCTGCATGCTTCTCGTTTTTGATCCTTAGACATGTGAGCCAGAGCAGTACAATGTTCCTTAACTT